AACAACTCTTGGGCCAGAATAGCAATTCACGGGGGTAATCTGCATCAATGTCATCAAACCGTTACCCTAAGTCTGACTACAAAGATGCCACATGAAATGCCTCTCAACTTTAAACCTTATTAAAATCCTTAATCACCACGAAAACCTAAATCTCATTGTTAAATAAAAAACAGTTTGGAAAAAAACTATTCTAAATAGGGGGGGATCGTTAAAGGGGAAAAGAAGGCGATACTTCCCTTAAAATGTTATAATCCTGATGTAATTTTTCCACCTTATGTATTATATCATCATTATCTAATAGACGCGATTTTAGCATAAAATTTCCACCACCTAATAGATAAATGAAGAAAAAAAATGTTAGAGGAAAGTACCAAGAATAAATAATGCAGGAGAGGGAAACTGTAATTACTAACAATGAATAAAATAAAAAGGTAAGCGTGAGAAGAAGGACCATAACAGATACCAAAGAAGAAGTTTATGTGCAAAACCCAACAAAATTTTGATATTCATCAAAGGAGTCTACACGTTAAAACAACTCTTGGGCCAGAATAGCAATTCACGGGGGTAATCTGCATCAATTCACCAAACCGTTACCCTAAGTCTGGCTACAAAGATGCCACATGAAATGCTTCTCAACTTTAAACCTTATTAAAATCCTTAATCACCACGAAAACCTAAGTCTCATTGTTAAATAAAGACAGTTTGGAAAAAAACTATTCTAAATAGGGGGGGATTGTTAAAGGGGAAAAGAAGACGATACTTCCCTTATAAATATCTAAGCCCAAAAACTCTGGTCAATATTGTCGAAAGATGTTTGAGTGTTAATTAAACTTTCAAATTGTAAAATAATGGAAAAGAAAAAAATTTGTGAAAACTGCAAACAAATACTTCGCGATATCATAATATAATTTTTGTTCGAAATTAAAAACCGAATTTTTCAAAAGTTTCTCTTAACAAAGAAGGGCTGAGAAAAACTTGAAGACGACCCATAAAATGAAGCTTTATACTTAGTGCTCAAAACGCGCCAAATTGTTATGATTACAAATCAATCGAATATTTTAGGAAATATGACTCGCCAAAAGGTATTACAAGACTTATTATTACATAATCTAAACTATCAACTTCACTCATTACTTCGTTTCCTCATGTAAGTTATCCTAATAAGGTCATATCGCTGTAAGATTATAATGACTTTATGCAAAAAAAAATCTAAACGTGTCAAAATGTCTAAAAACGGCAATTAAACCAAAGTAAAAATTTCTTATGATTAAGTCCAGAATATATAACGAAAGAGACCAATCATGTATTTAACGTCAAAGATTGATTCCAAGACTCACTACAATTATATATAAAGGTGAGTACTGGTGCAAGTAAAATAATAATCGAACGAAATTAATCAAGTTTATCATCATCAACGAACAAAGGTATGTTGGAATCGTGCAAAATTTGGTGCAGTATATTGCACAGTACTATCGATACAAAAATCAATGATATAGATTAAATATAATGATAGGAATGACCTCATTGCTAATCTCGGAATTTATGTTGTAGATTCGAAATTCTATCAAGAATATATAGTATATATAGTCTACTTACTATATGTGGGTGGGAATGATATAGATAGCCTTTTTCTACATTACTCAGAAAAAGATAAATACTTTTTCGAATGTATATGAAAAGACCTAGGTAACACCAAAGTGTTATTTTTATTCATGTTATAGGAACCGTTTTTATGCTCAATCATAAAAATTTCTTTTGAATCGATGAATCAATTTTTATTTTTTGTATGTGAGAATCTCATAGTTAGCGATTTTGAAAATTAGCTGTAGAAAATTTTCGTAATGTGAGAAATCAAAGAAATAAAATGATGCTGGAATTCGCATTTAATAGCCTAGATCTGAGTACTCCTTGATAGCATAATATAATTTGCTGCAATTCTTTGTCATCTTTTTCTTAATAATATTATCACTTATAATAAATGATTTTTTGCAATGTAGTGTTGGGGCATGGCGTATATTAGAATAACAAAAGCTGTTAACCATGATTTATTCGAATTTTCTTTGATTAATTACACTTTGCATATATTTTTACAGCATAACAATAAAAATCAATAAAATACTCCAAGAAAAAGAGAAATTGAATGATTACTTAGGAAAAAGTATCTCATTAAAAGTTAACGAAAAACCTATCGTCCTCCGCAAAATCACTCTTGCGCACTGCAACATTATTAAGTATCCATGCTATGCCAATCGGCTCTTGTCTAGGTTGAACATTGGGATCATAGAATGCATTGGGGTGTGTTTTTACGTACAGTGTAGAGTTCATTCAAATTTGTGAAATGGAATATACAGAGCGAATGTTCGTCTCTGCGTCTATTTGTCAGGAGATTATTGGTTGCAAAAGCGTTCATCACCCGTTGATAAGCTGCGTACGTATGTTGATTAATCCAATTCTGATTTGCTGCAATAATAAGAACGGGATCAAAATCATCCATTGTTCATCGTATTTTCTGATATCTTCTTCGGAGGCTTCTGGGAGGATGGTTATAAGAGCCTTTCGAGTAGATACAAACATTCTAGAAAAGAGTTAATTACAATTGCTTGGATAAAATTACACATTATGCAAGTTACTTACTCGTCTATATTATTATCACTCGAAGTTCCATTTGTTTAAAATGATATTTTCACGTGTTCCTTTGTTAAAAGAAACTGGGAAGTGCTGAAATTTATTGGTAGTCTGGTTGGAAGTAGAATTTTGGATAGACTGGTCATCAGTTGAAGTGTTCATAGGGTGTCATGAAATTGTTAGATAATTTATTAGATTATCATTTATATCACGTGAATCTAATTTTTGACGTCTGCTTCTTAATAATAATTGAACAACACCAAATAAGTTGGCAACAATAAAAGCAAAAATGACGAATGGTAGAGCCTAAAGAAATGTGACATTGGTGAAATGAAAACAATTTAGAAAGGCGATAGTGATTAAAAAAGTTGGCAGAGTGAGGAAACAAATCATCCAACCGAATAAAGAACACATTGGAAGAATCATGAAATAAGTGAACCAGGTAAACCATTCGATGGGCGATAATAATAAAGACGTGAATGAACCAATAACTTCTTGGAAAAACATGGTTTTGGAACTTGAGGAGAGTTGAGTGAGTATTTAGGATGAAGAGTAATCTTTATATTTCATATATTTATAAAACATTGATTATCCTTTATTTATAGCCTGATCGAGTCAATCATATTACTCGTCTACGCATGAAAATCGAATTATATGATTTTTTTTTTTGATGATAGACTCGGGTTTACCGACACCTAAGATAAATGGAAGATATATACTTATCTTTAAACTAACGTTCTAAAGCCTCTTCGACTATAAGCAGTATGGTGGGATCGTGTAAAACATTGTATGAGCTAGAAGAATCGAAGTTATTGTCCGCAAAATAATCATGTAAAATAAATCATCATAAATTGCGCGAGGATTTTAACATCACAGAGTAAAGTAACATAAATTCTCATGATGCTAATTTATTTCCGGAATTGATTACATTGCATATTCTGTATACGACCAATTTTTTCTATCAGGAATATCGATGATTGGAGTTTAGGTCCAATTTAACAATTGAACATATCTAATTGGCAAATGTCCACCAATTATTTGGACAAAAAAAAATATAGTAAAATAAATAATAATTTAGCACTTTTTTATAAAGGTTTCTATTTTTTAGGAAATTAACTAAGTAATAAATAAAATTTAAACAATAAAGAAAGATTAGCTTATTTCTACATGCTAAAAAAATATTTTCTTATAATAAGACAAATTTTGTTAAAATGTTTAAATGACCTAGAAGTAAAATGTCCTCCGCTATGCTTCGGACAATAACTATTTCAGATTTGCAAGAATAATTTAATAAGCTTGATTTATTAAAAAATGACCAGTGACATATAGCCCTGTTCATTTCTAGATCGGACTGGATCGACCGAAAAAAAATGTAACCAATCATATCGAAGTTACAATTGAGCACAAATTGGATCGACTTCATGATTCGAAAAATATATTATCATGCGTTATGGTTACATCTAAAATAAATTTCGATCTAATGTTCATTACTACTAGATGTTTTAAACCACTTCAACTTTATCATGGAGTCGGTTTCTGAACAAGACAAAGGGTTATACGAAGCTGCACCTAGTAAGATCATCCCCTCAAGACAAATATTTGTAATTGAGTATCCAGGTTATGTAAAAAATGTCGATAAAGTTTTGCAAACTTTAGGTGGTGAAAAAGGTCTCAAAAAGGTGAAATTATTATTATTTTTATTATTATTATTATTTGAAAACAATAAATAAAATGAGGGTATATACCACAATGACCGTAGCTAATTTCTTATCATGTATATCATGTGAATTATTTTATCGTATGTTTTGTCTAAGGCCGTAAATGAGAGTCTTATGGAACTTCGTTTTAGACCTGATGATCCTTTTTGCCATCCTATTAATGGAGATGTTATACCGACATCGAATCTTTTGCTTAAAGTAACTAGACGCAAGAAAAAACGTCAAAATAAAGATATGAATCGCGAGAATGATGAGCAAGCTAGCGTAAAGGAGGATATTAAATTTGACATTTTGGGAATCATAAGTAAAACTTGTCGTTTTCGAGGAATGTCAGATTATCAATGCATCCCAAGCATAAAGCATCCTATACTTGAATATAGAAAGGCACTCGAATCTTTGGATGGTATGGAATATGTGTAAATATTATAATACATTTCAATTGTAAACATACTTATGCGATTTATTCAATGACATAGTTGATAAGATAATGGGTTTCGAATCTATTATAAATGATATAAAAGAAGAAAGCAATTTGCCACCCCCTTCTTTTTCACGTGTAGAATGTCCAATGGATTACGGGTATTTATCTACACGAAATAATAACACGACTCAGGACCGAGAAAAAACTACTAATAAAGAATCGCCAATTCTAACAATTTTCAGATATCGATACCACTGATTGTAAATGCCTAATACTCCCTTGATTTTATTCGATATTATTCATAAATTTAATAATTTGCGAATCAAATTTAACAGTAATCTTTATAGTAGTTTTCTCGGTCCTATTATTCGTGATTCACAGTTACTAACCTTTCTTGATCCACAGGTATCAACAAAATACGGCTGTTGTCAAAGTGTTGGTTAAAAAGAACGATGATCAGGTAACTTTAGTAGAAGTGATCAAAATTATCTAAAATAATATTTAATAACAAATATTCCTTACAATTAAGCCTCCATCTCTTAAACTTATTAATCGAAGTCGTAAGAAGAAATTTATAGCAATATCAATTACATATGAGATTGATAATATCCTTTGGGTCTATTATTGATTTATCATAAATCAAACAAAAAAATAAAAATAAAAATAAAATGTTCCTGTTCCTTAACATCCCATTACATGTTCCCGAGGAGCCGCCACCAGAATCTCTCAAGAATATTGAAAGAATACCTCAAGAAAGTATAGATCGAATTCGTAAGGTAAAAGAGTGAAAATGTTGAAGCATAATTTGAATTCGATTAAACAATTTTTCAGTTATTTGAAGAACGTCCAGTATGGACGAGATTCGCATTGGAAAATAATTTACCTCCAAATGATATAAGAAATATCAAAAGGTATTTCAAATTATAACTACTTTGCTGAACAGGATTAATACATTAAATACTAAATCTGCATGATTCAGGCTGTTACCTTTGGTCGCGTATTTGATGTCAAACGGTCCATGGCGTGATTGTTGGATGCGTTATGGATATGACCCACGGTTAAATAAAGAAGCAAGATTGTATACAATCATTTATTTTGTGTTTTGTTTCTTCATTTGTAGTATATTTTTAACCTAGTATTTGTTTAGCTATCAGCTGCTGGACATTAGAAGCTCTCGAAGACCTACAAAACTTGGGCGAGCGAAACGTTTGCTTCACGTACGTGAGGAAACCACAACGGAAAATGGCAGCACAGAAAGTTACAAGTAAGATTTATGAGCATTTATTTCTTTGCATCTTGTATAAAATTTTTTAAAAACTTAAAATATCATTATCATAGCATCAGTTCACGGACTTCGCATATCTTTGATGGAACTTCAACGTGTCGAGATGTTGCGGTTTTTCAAATATGTGACATAACTTATCCTTTGTTAAAAACCATTATTGAATCACCTGATTCTGTTCAAGACTTTTGTGATGTCAGCATGAAACTTAATTTCATCATTATATTTTTTTCACAATCTTTAAATTACATACATTCATTTATTTGGTTAAAAATAATTAATTATAAAGGAACATGATGGTTTTTATAAACGTAGTGAATTAACAAAGATAAGAAAGATTATGAGACGAAAGTTCAAGGCATTAACTGAAGGTAAAGTATTAAATGACGAGAATTTTGACGACTTATTGAATGCACGTGATGATGGATCGGAAAATGATGATGGTGGCGAAGACGGAGAAATGAGTGATATTAGTGAATCGAAAGACGATCAAATTATAAGCAGGGTAAAAATTATTGAAAAAAGTTATTTGAATTCAAAACGAGATTATTGCTTTATTCGAGTATACATCATTATATTTAGGTTGATGAGTTAATGCGTAATTTGCAAACAATGCAAGGACAAGAAGGTGAATTATATGCGTTGATTTTCGAACTTAACTTCGTATTTTTTGATAAACCTTTTTTTTACCTTCTTTTGTAAAGATTTCGAACAAGGTGACGAGGGAATGTTTTATTCATTTGAGGATTTTGATAATTCAGATACGTTTGAAGAGAATGAAAGCGATTATAATGAAGTTGAAGAGTATGATGATTTTGAAGCTTAATAAAATAAAATCACGTGATAATATTATATCCTTGTTTTATTTGCTTGATGCTGGGCAAGATTAAGCCATACCGGTTTCTTTGTATTTATTTAATACCCTTTCCAATTCATCTTGTTTTACCCTATGTTTAAATATGAATTGATTATTGATATGTAAAACCGGAATGTCATGCTTATATTTTTCAAACCAATCTGAATTCTCCGGAGCTTTTATGTCTTTTTGTTCAAAATCGCAAGGAATCTAAGAAACGATGCATGGTAAGTAATTTTTAAATTATAAAAAATAAAAAAATTTTATAAAGTTGATTTTACTTTTTTTTGAACTTGCTCAATGGCATATTTTGCATCAACACAAAGTGAACAAGATTTTGAAGTAAATAAAGTTAAAAGGATTCGACGCGCTGGCGAAATTGACATTTTTTCATTGGTTTTCAAATTTTTTTTTTTTAATAAAAATATGTATATATATATATTCGAACGAGTCTTAAAACTTGTTTCTTTTGTAATTAAGGTATACACAATGTAAATAGTCACACATTGCGCAGAGCCTTGGCTGATAAACAATAGTTACCATTTTTTTGTTTGTCATGTCTTTAAAAAAGATCAGTGTTGTACTTTATCAGTGTAACTTTTTGAACTTTAAATCTGTAAATTTTGTAAAATTTGTAAAAAAAAAAATTTTTTTCTGCGACTGCGCATCATTTGTTGATTTGCTTATTAGCATTCATTCATTGCCTTTTATAATATTCCTTTAAGGTTAATTTAATTTCTTTTTGGTCTTTAATTGGATAAAATGACGATCTGATAGTAGATATAAAGTGATAATGGCGTTTTTTTCAGAATTGTTTCAGATGTGTGGGACTTTCGTACAACAGAAACGCCATCGACTCATGAGTTGAATTGTTACACAGATTGAAGACTATAATTTTGATGCGATTTTGGGTATTCTAACGCTACCCAGTTTTTTTGCTGACCTCTTGTAAGCAAAACGAAGCATTTGTTCATCCGTAATAAGTTCTTTGTCCTGCCCGTGGACTTACCAAAATCAAAGGAGCCTTCAGTCCGTCAAGTCCAAATAGGCATCCATTCTAGAATCAGTAAATTTCCCTTCTAGTATACAGTTAGAAGGGATAGATTTTTTTTTTCTTAACGACCAAAACGAACGTTACTTCAGCCACATCTGACCATCGAACCCTTTACCAAAAGATAATAAAACATCCTAGTTTTTTTTTGCAACATTTTATTGTGCACGTGCCATAAGATTTAATAAATATAATGGCCGAAGAAGCTATAGTTGCAGTAACTACAAGTGAGGCCATAACCGTTATTTCTCCTGAAATTGAAAAGGTTTCGGTTACAGAAGTTGCTCCCAGGGAGGAAACCAGAGAAGAAGAAGTCGAGCATAAAGTTTTTGTAGGAAATTTGGCTTTCTCAACAACTGAACAAACATTAGCCGAATTTTTCAATGAAACTGGCAAAGTGTAAATGATCTTTTTTTTTATTTTTTGATTTCTTTATTATTTTGATCAAATGTTTATTTATAGATTATTTTTTTTTACACTGGGATGGTTCATTTTAAAGATATATTATCCCAAATATTAAATTCTATTTGGTTACACAATTATTTAAATGATAAATCAATTGATTTTAATAATGATTTATTCAATATTCTCATTATATTAATTATTAACTTCATTAATTTTTTTTTTATTTTTCATCAGTATTAAGGCCAACATCATCACTCGTGGTACACGTTCTTTAGGATATGGTTTCGTTGCTCTTGAAACAGATGAAGACGCAAAGAAGGTCGTCGAAATTTTGAATAAGCAAGAATTAGATGGTCGTCAAATCAATGTGGAAGTTGCTAAACCCAAAAATGAGAGTTCTGCTGCCACTCATCAAAATCGTCGTGGTCGAGGAAGATGGCGTGGTAGAGGTAGAGGACGTGGTAGGGGTCGTGGACGGGGTAGAGGTCGCGGCGGATGGGTATGTTTTTCATGAAATTTTTTTAAAATTTTTCCTTATATGTAATAATTCAATACTAATCTCTTTTTTACATTCTAATTGTAAAAAGTTCCCCCGTCGTCGCTATCCGAATCGAAATGCAGATATTAGCGGCGATAATAATGTCGAAATTAATGATTCTACAGCGGTTACTGACGCCCCAGCTACAAATGGTACCAACGAAAACGATCACACACCTCCTAAAAGGCGTGGTGGTGGCAGATTTTATCGAGGACGTGGCCGCGGTCGCGGACGTGGTCGTGGCGGTCGTCGTCGTCCCCCAAATCGAGGCTATTTAAAGACTGGAGAGCCATCCAAGACGGTTGTTTTTGTTGCAAATCTCCCGTTTGCCATCGATGATGAGGGTTTGAAAGAAATCTTCAAGGATTATGAAGTAACTTCTGCTCACGTTGTTTATCGCCGCGGTGGACGTTCAAAGGGTTTTGGTTTCGTAGAATTGGTTGATGAAGAAGAACAAAAGAAAGCTCTTGAAGGATTAAAAGATGTTGAATCAGAAGGTAGAATTTTGGTCATTAAAGTTGCATTGAGCGATCAACATGTTCAACCTAGTGGTAGTGGTGGTGATGACATTACTATTGAAAAGCCTGAAGTGACTTCTCCCAATGAAGAGAATAAAGTAGTTGAAGAGTAAAAAAAAAAAAAAAAAAATCTTTATTTTTAAGATTTGGCAAGAGTCATTTGTAAATTCTCTTGTTGAATAGCAAAATTTTATCTTTTTTCTTTATTGAGTTTTATTGAGTTCCTTAGATTTCTAGTAATCAACATTTATATTTAGTTATGGTATATGAGCACGATTTTTATAATTATTTTTTATTCCTGGTATGCTCTTTATTTTTCATACCTTTATATATGCTTCCATGTCCAATGCCCCTTAATCATTTTCTTTTTTTATATCCCATTTTCTTCTTCTCGACATCCTTCCTCCTTTATCATTTAATCATATATATTTATTTATATAATATTATTTAGCAATTTTGGGGCAGAAAGATTAGAAAAAGTTCACCTTTTTCTATTATATCCTTTGGCGATATATTGATCTTTTTTTTTTATAATGGAAGAACATATGTTTTCGTTTATATATAGTAATAAAATTGGCAATTACAAAAAAGAATAAAACAAAAAAAAACAACTCAAAAAGTTTCATCATATTGTTGTGTATATTTGTCATTTATTTATTATTAAATTAATAAAATTACAAAAATTGAAACCTAAACCGAAATATTTTTATAACCACTTTGGCCTATTAACAGGAACTCTAACCAAATCTGTGTCAAATAATTCAATGAATTGTTCATTTAATACTCTAACTTTTGATCCTGCATAACGACGATATTCTTCAAATATTGAAGTTAAATTCCATCTTTGTAGTTTACGAAGACATCCTACGATCGTACCTTATTATTTTTTTTTTTACGATTAATTTCGGAAAGATAAACAAAAAAAATTTTCATTTTTGAATTTAATTACCCGTTCTATGCCTTCCCAAGTTACACATTACAATCATTGGATAACTACGAGGATTTAAAATAATTTCTAATGCTGCTAATACAACTTCTTCGGTAATTGGATCCAACGCATTTACTGAAGATATTACACCAAGATGATGCCATTGGATATCTTGATCATCGATGAAATTCAAGCTAGAAATAAAAAATTTTTTAAGCATTTTATAAGAACGGAATTATTCAAGTTTATTTTTAAAAAATCTACTTACAATCTTTGATTTGGCTCTTCAGGAGCTAACCAAACCACAGTTTTTAAACCCAGCTTCTCCAAAAAAGGGAAATTCAATTCGTTTGGTTGCCCTGATCTATAAAGATCTTCTTCTATCATACCATAATTCTAAAAGATTAAAACCGCGAACGCGTAGATAAATAAATGAAAAAAAAAGGAAAAAGATGGCGTAAATAAAAAAAAAATGTATTACTCCAAACGTTTGTTTAATTTATGATTCACGAGCTCATTTCTTTTGAAATGCGAAAAAATAAAAAGGGCATACCAATGGTGGAATAAAGTGTTGTGAACTCATTTTTTTTATAGTTACATACGTTTCTTAATTATTGATAAATGATCATCCAGCAACATTTTGATTGATCAACACATCTTTCAAATTCAAATTTTTTTTTAAAAAAAAAAAAAAAAATGTCTCCACATTTAGTGCAAATCGCTGAATTAAAAGGTATGGTGATAATTTATAGAAAATAACTGCCAGAAAAGTATCTAATAGTTTTTTAAAAATATACAGGTCACGCTGACCGAGTTTGGTCTGTTTCTTGGTCATCTACGGGCAACGTTTTAGCTTCTTGTGGTGGTGATAAAACTGTACGTTTATGGGTTCCAACCTCTGACGAAAATCCTTCAGAATGGATTTGTACACATACTTTGGAAGGTGCTCATAAAAGAACCATACGAAATATTTCTTGGAGTCCGAGCGGTAGTCAACTCGCAACTGCTAGTTTTGATGCACTTATTGGTATATGGGAACGAGATGACGGTGGAGGTATAAACTGTTCAAATTCGATACATTTCTTTTTTATAAAACGAAATTATTAAGGGATTATTTTACATTGTCAGATTATGAATGCGTTGCTACATTGGAAGGTCACGAGAATGAAACAAAGTCAGTTGCGTGGGCTTCGTCAGGTTCTTTACTTGCTACATGCGGCCGTGATAAAAGTGTTTGGATATGGGAAGGTAATTACTCTACTTTGTCAGAATTCATTATATTCTTAACTTGCGCCTGACATAAATTTATAATTACAAAGCAACGGCAGATAATGACTTTGAATGTATATCGGTTTTACAAGAACACACACAAGATGTAAAGATGGTTATATGGCATCCAAATAATGAAGTAAGAGTTTATTCATATATTTATTTATCTCAACAGAATATAATTTTAAAATACTAATGGAAATTTATATAAGATATTGGCATCGGCAAGTTATGATGATACAATAAAACTTTGGCGAGAAGATGATGACGACTGGTATTGTTCAGATACGTTGGAAGGACACGAAAGTACAGTTTGGGCTATCGATTTTGATAAAGCTGGCGATTATTTAGGTACTTATTTATAATAAATCTTTTACAAAAAATGATTTTGTAGAAAGATTATATCTTAATCTACCTTTTATTATCTTTTAAGCGTCTGCTTCGGATGATAAAACAATTAAATTCTGGAAAAGCGTTCAAAATGAAAATCAGGAAGGGACAGATTCTCATCGAAGTCATTCTAAATGGAAATGTGTACATACGTTAAGCGGTCATCATACGCGATGTGTTTATTCTTTGAGCTGGTCAAAAGTTCATGGACGCATCGCTAGTGGAAGCGGTGATAATGTCATTAGGGTGTTTGAGCATCAAGGTAAATCTTTACCAGATGATACAAACCCTTCCGATTTTTCATTAGTCGCTTCGGTTCCTTCTGCTCATGGAGTTGCTGATGTTAATTGTGTACAATGGCATCCTACTGAAAAACATTCTGATTGGTTAGCCTCAGCTGGAGACGATGGAATTGTTAGAATATGGCGATTCGTTGAATAATTATAAAAGAATTGATTTTTAATTGTTTAATTTCTTAATGTAAATTATTTAAAACCTTTTCTCGTGAAATAATTTTTATGTATATTTAATATTACAAATAATAATTACTATAATACGATTTTTTTTAATGCGTAAAAATTGGGTCTGTGTGATAAAAAGGAACGATCTTTTCTGTAAAATATTATCCAATCATTACTTGGAAACCTCTCAAATATCACCAAAAAAAAAAAAATTTTTTTTTTAAATTTTCATTAATATCAATCATTTCAAAAGAAAAAAGATCTTCCTCTTTTACTCATTTGACTCTGTATCGAGTAGAGTAATAAATAAAACCGCCAAAATGGTATTTAAATATCAATTTGATAAATGTTTTATTTTGAGATATATTATTTAAAACTATTAAAAAATTTTTAAAAATTAGGGTAAAGTACACGGATCGCTTGCTCGTGCTGGTAAAGTCAAATCTCAAACTCCTAAAGTCGAAAAACAGGAAAAGAAAAAGAAAAAAGCCGGACGAGCCAAGAAACGTATCTTATATAATCGTCGGTTTGTAAATGTAACTAGCATAGGAAAACGAAGGGTAATTACGATGAATTTTTAATATTTCATTGAAAATTTTTTTTTTTTTTGATTTTTTTGATTTTTTATTTTTTATTTTTTGATATTTTTTTTTAATTATTGCTTAATTTTATTTTTTATACACAAATATAAAAAATAATTCTTAGATGAATCCTGCTCCAACATCCGATAGACCTTAATCTTTCCTCACCCACATGATTCATTAAAAATAATAAAAAAGTCTCAAATTTATCAAGAAAAAAAAAGTCTTTCATCCTTAAAGTTCATAATTAATAATCGTCGTTGGATTTGGTTGAACCGTTAGGATCATTTTTATTTTTATTTGTTTTGGCGGTTACTTTCTTATGTTAATTAATGAAAGCTTCATTTTTTTAATGGTTTGAAATTTGCGAAAAACTGTTTGGATTTATTCTTATTTGTAAATGATATTCAAAATGAAATAAAATCTCATTTGGATAAAGAAAAACACAATCCAAATATTTATTTTTCAAAGCGATTTTTTTTTTTTTTTAAAAAAAAAAAAAACATAATTATATTAGAAAGTACATCAATCAACATTTATTGAAAAGACGAGTACCAGATAATAAATGTGATTTTTGAACTATCACGTTTAACTTACCTTTAAATATGTAAGAGAAAGAAAGAAAAAAATGAAATGAAATGATGATAAACATGATAAATCAAATTTTTTTTTCTTGATATAGATTATTGTTCATTATTTTATTTTCCTCATAAATACCATTAAATCCAGGCCAATTCAAAAAGTTCAACCAATATTATTCTTTGCATAAAAAGAATAATCGCGAAAATTCCAAATTAAAATCCTTTGCTTTTTATGTTTCCTTTTATTTTATCTGTTATAAAACCAACCCATGATCATTTTATATCGAAACGTCAGCTCCATGCATAAAAAAAGAAAAAATTTGAAGAAATAGGTGATGAATTAATTACATGTTTTAAGGTGATGGTAAGGTCTCAAATCCACCATATTTCTTTTCATCGAGTAATTTTCCTTTTTCATTCCAAAGTAACTTGTAAGAATTTTTAATCGTTACTTCAGAAACACCAGTCACTTGAGCGACATCTTTTGTTGACTGAGGTTGTTGATATAAACAAGAAGCCATGTATATACAAGCTGCTGCGACTGATACAGGGGACTTTCCAGCCAATGTACCAAGTTCTTTTGTTTTTAAAGTTAATTCAAGAGCTGCCTTTTGAACATCCATTCGGAGATGTAACATGGAACAGAAACGTGACATCAAATCTTCTGATGTCATTGTTGATACATTTGTCTCAAAAGTACGAATCAAAGTTTTAAAACATCTTCCAATCTCTTTTTTAGGAACTCGTGTGATTGCGCAAATCTCCTTGAATGTACGAGGTACATTTTCTTGTCGACAAGCAATGAAAATGCAAGCGGCAATGATTGATTCAGTACTTTTACCACGTAAAAGTTTCTCCTCTTCAACTCTCTTATACAATTGTTTTGCTATGTCAGCGATCAATTTTGTCAATCCAATAGCGTCACTCATCGCAGCTATCTCTTTATATGCTTGAATTAGATTTTTCTCTCCCTTCACAGCATTTGCTCGTCCATGAACTTTATTAAGATCTCTAGCCATTCCTGAACCACCATCCCTTCTCGAAATAACAGTATCTAATTGAGCTCCATCAAGGAGTGGATTCGCGGCCGCACCAACACGGGATGGATCATCACCTTCGTCATTAGCAAAAGTTCTCCATTCAGATCTTGTATCAATTATACGGTCCCCAAGAACTAGACCACAATCCCCACATACTAAATCTCCACTTGCAAATTCTTCAACAATATTTGGAACCGGATTTTTACAATCGGGGCACACTAAACGAATGTTAAGATCTGGAAGAACTGCTTTAGGTCCCTGCTCCGTTGCAGGTTGAAGGCGTGGAAAAGGAATATTTGACATCTAATATAAATTTCAAAGATGAAGTTATAATATAATAAATATAATAATAAAATTTTTGTGTATAAATATTTTGAAAGATTGAATTCTTTTTATTTACAAAACCAATTGAATACGTTATTTTTTTTTTATTATTTTATTGATTTTTTTAATGTAACAAACTTAACATTTGAAAGGATGACATGTTTTAAAACTTATAAACGCCGTTGACCTTTCATACTTTACCTTTATTTTTGGTTATTAAATATAATTTAGTAGGAGTGTTGAGTATTTATGAAATCTTTAAATCTAAAGTTCGTTCCTCTATATTTTCAATATTATTTTCAAGCTAATATTATTAATAAGTTTCGACGAGCAATTAAGCAATCTCGAACTTTTCGAAACAATTGCTAACATAATGCTAACGTATTTTATGACCCCACCTTTAATGCCTTGTTCCTTTTTTATAATTTTGATACGTTCACGCTATTCTTGAACAGTTAACGATAGTCAAGTAGAGAAGTGGTCCTTTTAAAGAATTTTTATCGAATATGATATCTATTTGAGGCTTATAATGAATGTTAAAAAATTGTCAAAATACACATACGATTTATTGATTTTAATTGATATTTAATTCGGCCGCAGTTTCATCCAAAAAATTTTGATCAACAATGAATTAAAATTCCACGTGATTAACTCTTAATACTGTACCCAAATTTCCATCATATTTAAATAAATACTTGAATGACTTTTTTTCAATTCGCTCAATAATAAAATATATCTATACAAATTTCAATCCTGTTTCATTCTCCATTTCGATTTTTTCCTCAGGAGAAAAAAAGTCATCTTTCGTTAAAGGGTGACTAAAACCTGGTACATTTTTGTAATCAAACTCATTTAAAAGTATCTCATCTACATCATCTTCAGCAGATACTTTTAACTTTTCCTTGTTACCTTCTCCGTAATCATAATGGTCATCTACAGCATCCATCATAGCTCCCAAGTTTGCTAATCGATCGGCTTCTTCATTTTCATAAACGCCAGCATGCCCTGGGACATATGTCTAGTTTCAATTATTATTATTTTGGTTTGAAAGGAGGAAATGAAAATTCCCATATTCAACTTGATTCAAATCAATAAATAAAAAAGCAAAGAACAAAAAAAAAATTGTAGAAATCGACATTACAATCGTTACATCTGCATTACGTGCTCTCGTTAATTTTATTAATCGTTGAAAAAGTCCTTGATTCTCAACATCTTTATTCTTTGAGCTCTTCCATTTATTCTTTTCCCATCTAGGTATCCAGGAAGTATACGCTAATGAAGAAAATAACATATATTAACAATGATTAATAAATTGGGCACTTCATATTTACTTCTTACCATTGATTGTATATTTGCTGTCGGTTCTTATTTCCAATGGTACATTATTGTCCGGACAAGTTTCTAAAGCACGTATTACTGCCTAAATCGTGGAAAGTTGTCACAGATTAGAGTTTACTTGAAACATTGCTCAAATTTCTTTAAGCATATTACCATAATTTCGGCTCGATTATTAGTTTGTCTAGGGCCCGGTAAACGCTCGCTGACATTACTATAATCATTGGATAATATTTCAATATACTTGAGATTACTAAATGATAACTTATAAATGGAAAGAAAAAAAAAATTACCGAGTATCATTTTCACCCCAATAAACTCCCACACCAGCCCTTGCCCCATCCTTTCCGTTAGAACGTGCACTTCCGTCAGTCCAAACTCTGAGAGACTTTCTGTTGCCAACGTTAGATATTTGCTAGATTATTCGGTTTGGATTAATAATAATAAATTGTAATAAACACTATAAAATATACACATATAACCATATACCATACCGAACGTACAGTTGATGGAATAGAAAGACTTTCTTTTTGTATTTTTTGTCTAGATGTTTTTCGCAAGTACGCCTCTTGAATATAGACCAGAATATATCGAAAATATCAAATTAAATAATCAATTATTATAAGCAGGATGAAAAAATGATTTGTTATAAACCTTTTTTAACATTTCCTTCTTTCATAAAAGCTTCAGCCTCTTGGAGTGTGGTAAATTTTTTGAATTTCGCATTAGGATAATTCTTGATATGTTTCTCACATTCTTCCCTATTGAAAATATTAAACGTGTATTGTAATTTGAAATAATTAAAAAAGGTACCCGAAAAAATATAATTAAGGTCACATGTTACTATGCTAAAATTTACATTTTTGTGATTAAAATTTTTTGTCTTATTACACTGCTTTATTTCAAAGTTCTAACCAATTGATTTATAAGATACTATTATTCAAAATATTCTCTCTTTAAAAGCATTTCCCTGTTATTATAATGGCACTAACTTAATAAATTCCATAAAAAGTTAAAAACGGTCGGAAAAGACCTCAACTATAATTATCCGGGGTCCCTAATTAATATAAAAGTCATCCACGTACCAGGATTCATAAACTCCTGGTAAGCGACCAACGCGAACCGCATAAAACCCAGACGTGGATTTACCAGACATAGTTTTAGGCATTTCAGTTTTTATGACGTTTCGTATTATCTTACAAGGAGACGTGTTTAACCTCGTGAGTAAACGGGATTTTCTCAAACTATGGACTGACACAGATAAAATTCGCGTTTGATTCTTTAAAGTTGTTTGCTTTGTTGTTTTTATGCTATAAAATCCCTTTCCTTTAAATAAACTATGTAATAGTGATATGGCCAAAATTCTGCCCATTAAATAAATATATCAAATTTCATTATCATCGATCATCGTTGAACAAATTTGTTGGGGTTGGACGTTACACGTCACATTTCGTCCAATAGGAGAAATATTCGTCTTTTACATATTTCCGAGTTTTATATACCATTCAGACAAGTTTTCTCTTTCAATACGCTAACGAAATTTAACGCGCAAAATGATGGAAGAAAAAGATAACGTTGCTAAAAGAAAGCGCACACTTGACATTACGGTCGAAGCTCCTAATAACTTGGATCTAGAGACTTACATTTCAAATTACAGAGGTAGGTTCTAGTAGTTAAGTCTCCTTAAAATTTAGGCCGAATCTTAAAACCAAAACTTATTTTGCACTTATGAAATCAGGACATACAAAGGTCGACCGTTTACTTTTTATAGCAAAAAGGTGTCCCATACTTCAGAATGACGCTTATAGACTTGCCTTACAAGAATTACGCGACAATTCTCTTGATCATAACAGATATATTTCAGCTGCTACTAAACTTAACGAAGCTTTGACGGTTCAAGGATTCCCTTCTTTCTCAATTGATAATACATGGGTAGATTCAACACAAAAACGTGCAAAATCTTTATTGGAAAGGTTAGAAGTTGAATTAAAGAATTATAAAAATAATCTAATAAAAGAGAGCATAAGGGTAATTACATTTTTAAATTATAGTTTAATCATTGGGTGTTTTGGATTTTTTAATGATTTCTTTTATTCTGTTTATTCATACGAAGATGGGACATAATGATCTTGGGGACCATTATTATAATTGTGGGAATTTGACAAATGCATTGAAATGCTACTCCAGAACTCGAGACTATTGTACAACAGCCAAGCACGTTATAGAAATGTGCTTGAACGTTATCAAAGTTTCCATTGAATTGGGTAACTTTTCTCACGTGCATAGTTATGTTATTAAAGCAGAGTCTACTCCTGACATTCAACCGGTTGTACAAGCAAAGTTGAAAGTTGCTGCGGCTTTAGCTCACCTTGATAATAACAAGTACAAATTGGCTGCCCGATTGTTCTTGGAGACTAGCTTTGAGATTTCCCATGCAGCAAATAATTACTCTGAGGTACTTTACAATGTTAATTTTATCGATCATGAAAATCTCTCCGTTATTTAACACGTACATTATTACATATTGCAACAATAGGTCATTTCTCCAAATGATATAGCTGTATATGGAGGTCTCTGTGCTCTTGCTTCATTTGATCGATCAGAGTTGAAAAGTAAAGTGATTGATAATACCGAGTTTAAACAGTTCTTAGAACTTGAACCTCATATTAGAGAACTCATTCACGGATTTTACAATTCAAAATACTCGGTGGTATTGGATATTTTGGACAAGTGGAAGGTAATGATACGAATATAATATATATATATATATATATTGTATAAGACATCTAATCCAATATTAAGACCTTATGAATATTTTAGAACGATTACTTGCTTGACCTTCACTTGCACAGTCACGTGGAAAACCTTTATGATAATATTCGTAAGAAAGCTTTGGTGCAGTACTTTAGCCCTTTCCTTACAGTAGATATGAACAAAATGGCTCAATCTTTTGGGACTAACGTGCAAAATTTGGAAAGAGAACTTGCCAAATTGATCACAGATAATCATATTCAAGCGCGAATTGATAGTCATAAAAAGGTAAAAAAAAATATTTTTTTTCTTTTGATCTAATATGTTATAACCAAAAGGTTTGTATTTTCCTCATCATAGATACTATGTGCAAAGCAACAAGATCAACGAAGTGGCATATTCTATAAAGCTTTGAAAATGGGTGATGAATTCGAACAGAGCACTAATGCTATGTTGCTTCGCATGAATTTGTTGAAATCTAATCTCGTAGTGTCGACTAGTCAAAAGTAGATATTCATCTTTTGAGATTAATTTATTACATAATTACCGTTTATTAATAATTTGGATTTTTATAGAGGAGGTGACAGACGTCACAATTGATAAATAATGTAATTTATTAAGGTGAATAGATACAATTGTTTTTAAAATTTATCGATTTAATCCATCCAAAAATTTCTTTGTAACCTGCACGATCAATCGATGTTCCACATTATGAATTCGTGTTTCTAAATCATCTAGCGAGTCAGTTTCCAATATTGGGACTTCTTCAACTAATAAAGGTTCACCTTTATCTACGGCCGAAATGACTTTATGGACCATGACGCCCGTTTTTGTAATGCTACCTTTCTTAAATGCTTCATAAGCTCTTGCAATGGAATTCGTACCTTAAAAACGAAGATTTCAAAACATATTAAAACGATTCAAAGTATAAAAAATGAGAAGTTTGTGGGAAAAAAAATTACCATCAAATTGATTTGGTAATGCAGGATGTAAATTTATAATAATATCATCAAAACATCTTAAAAAATCATCGGATAAAATATGCATCCAACCAGCCAAAATAATTAAATTAGGGTTATATTCTTTAATTTTTTTAGCAAGTTCTAAATCATATTCTATACGAGTTTTTCCCAAATCTTTATATTGTTTTAAAGGAAAAGTTAAAGTGGGAATTCCTACTTGGGTAGCTCGAGTTAAGCCATAAGCGGAATTTTTATTTGATACCACTAAAACAATTTTCCCTTCGATTGTTTTTGAATTGATTGCATCAATTATTGCTTGTAAATTTGAGCCGTTACCAGAAATTAACACAACAATTCTTGGAGACATTTTTCTCAAAAAAAAAAAAATTGAATTCTTATTACATGTATTATTATTCTAGATTTTGGTGGCCAATCAATTCTGACCCGTCACGTGTATGTGAGGACGATCAGATCAAAATTTTAATAGAATTTGCTGTGCTACCTTTTTTGTTAATTTATTAACCATTTTAGCCTTTTTTGGCTTTTTGGCTTTTATGATGTCATACGAGAAAATTTCCGTTTTTCTTATGCTATTCCTATGCTATGCTATTTTGCTAAATGCCCACTTTTTTTTTTCGTAAAAAGGTTCTTTATATAGAAAGTAGAAAAATTTTTTATTTGATCTAAAAATTTGCTGAATAATTAATTAAAATAAATACAAGATATAAAAAAAACCAATTTCCAAGATAATATGGTTAAATCATTGGATAATATTAGTGGATCGGTTGATTTGAAATCAATATTTTAGGCTAAACCATTTTAAATAATGAAAAACTCTAATATTGGCAAATCGGGCTGGACCGATTAAATTAAAGTCAAATATTTTAGCCCGGACATATGGATTAAATCGATATAGATGATTAGTAATAATAAACTATGTTTTTGTAACTAATTTTTAATTATTGATTATTAGTAAAATTGTGATTATTTAAATAAAGATTTCATGATGAAATTTGAAATAAAAATACCTATATAAGTACCTTGAATATTGATTGATTAATTGAAAATTCAATTAAAAAAAATGTTGGTAATTTATCATTAAGAGTGTAAGTGTAAATGGTGAAAAGGTTTCCACAGGAATCGCCTATAGCAGAGCAAATGAAGAATTTGTTAAGATTAATTTAAAGGCATTCAGGAACAATAATGAAAACATGATTTAAGAAATAAATAAATTTATCTGTCAAAACTTGCCATTTGATGATCCTCTCAAAAGCAACTAATATTTTAAATTCAACCTCTAAAGACATCTAAAGCTCATTTAAATATTATAAAAACTTACCTGGATCTGTCACTATATGAGAGTAATGTTTTTGAATAATAAACTAATCAATCATGGGATTTGTAACAGAATCATAATTATTATCCCTTAGATTGTAAGGTTTCGCAAGCAAATTTGCCTGCTTATTTACTATAAATTCTCTTCTGATTTACTTTTATAAATAATTAATATTTTTAAAAAAATTT